ACTTGGAAGGACTGGCGTAAGGCTGCCGATCGGCAGGAGCACCGTGGAGGAAACTTGTTTGTTCAACCCTTGCCGTTCGGCAAGGATGCCTTGAGCAAATTGTACCTCACCTTTTTTGAGCTCGTTCCAAGTCTTGAGCTGATACCGTCCGTTTTGTTGTATAACGTGGATAAATTTCAAGCCACATTCTCTGCTGTTGTTGCCGTTCGGCAAGGAGATTCGGAGGGTGTTTTGCTTCAATAAGAGATGTCGATGCGGAAGCAGAGCAGTTGGTGATGCCTGAGTAGGTGCCAACACGGAAGCGCCATGGGTGTCTTGATAAGATCTTCGTCATGGGTGCCGTTTGGTATATTGGAACCCTTCGGAATCAGCAATGTCGTTCATGGTGCGACGAAGAACTAGCAAGATGAAAGGTCCTGGAGCTCGTGATTGGGCTAAACGGTATGAGACCTCTTCATTGTTGCATACTGATTTTACTAAACTTTGCAGATGATGCATTGTGAGGCATCAACACTTGTGCTGGCTTTCTCTTCATCCCATGTGTGGTTTGCTTCTCCCATATTTTCATCTTTTGAACCGTGTGTCATAGGTCCCACCTTTTATTGTAGAAGCTGGAATGTATTGGTAGTGAGAGTCTTAAGGCTGCTTTGTGATTGTTGTGATTCTTGTCGTCCGATAAGAACATGTGTGGTCTCTGATAGCCACCGATTTAAAGGTGGGTGTGTTGAGTATTTATTGGCATGGGTGCCGAACGGTAGCTTATGAAAAATAAGTAAGGTGGAGGTTTGGAAATATCAGTTGGCTTGAAGGATGAGGTGCCGAACGATACCGTGAGCCTTTGCATTGATGATGAGGTGCCTCCAGGGTGACTTGAATAATTACTCAGTCTGTGGGTGCCGAACAGCAGCTTTGGTTTCCACTAGTATTTAAGGAGAGCATGACGCAGGACGGTAGCTAGGTGCCTGCAGAGATACCTTCTGTTTCATATTTGCCAAATGCCCAGAAGCAATGTTTTATTGCCATCCCACTTCCAAGTGCATGTGCCTTTCTAGAGCCACGTTCGGAAGCTGGTCAAGTGGCATGGAGATGGTGATTTTTCAAAGCTCTTGGGTGCCTTGAGCAATATCCTTTATATGGGTGTGCCGTTTGGCTTGGCCATTGAAATTGTTTCAGGCTTTCCTATATGGCAAATAGGACAAAATAGCACTAAAATGAGAATGAATGAATGCTAGGTCTATATGGGTGTGCCGTTTGGCTTGGCCATTGAAATTGTTCCAGGCTTTCAAATATACTAAAATATAAGATAAGGCAATGTGATGTATCTCTTAGAAACAATGCACGTGGCTTTGCTTGATCCCAAGAATAACAAGTTCCTTCCATATTAAATAACTTATAAAAATAATGAATGTGCCACTTATCTGATGGAGGTTTCGGCAATAGTATCTTCGACATCTTGATGCCTTGGCGACTCAAGGCTGCCAAACTTTCTCTTCAAAGGGGGTGCCGAACAGCACTTTGAATTGAGATGGTGGTTTGGTCATGCAAGGTATGCAAGCCATGCAAAATGACATCCACATTCGAAGGGCACTACCGAAGGGAACGGCACTGAGGAAGGGGAGAATGACAGAAGCTTTTTGTGTCGATTCCCACAAACGGCGCCAAACTGTTGACGCTCAAAAATGGTTCGGCACTTTTGAGCCCAACTTAGTGATGAGGTGTGATGGATGATGGGTGAAGGTGAGGACCTTCACCAAGTGTGTGAGGATTGGAGCAAGCGATAAACATACAGAAGACAAAATATACGTGGTTCACCCTTAATGAATGGGCTACATCCACGGAGAAGTATATTCTCCTTATTATAATATTGTGTATTTGCATTTGTACATGGGGTTGGACCCAAATATAAAAGTAAGAAAGGAGAAGGCCATGACTAAATATCAAGCCCAGCCCAATGATCCTTTTCTAAGGGGAGAGTGGTCTCCTTTTATAGGTGAGGGGGAGCCTTCACTTCTTGTAATATTCCGATGTGGGACTCTTTGCTTTGCCTAGAGTTGCTTCTAGTTGCTTGGTAAAATATGGCATAAACAATACTGTAAAAATCAAATTAGGTTTCCAACACCTAATATGAGAAACAAGCTTCAAAATCTCCTCATCACGCTCATCAAAACCCTCGCACTCCCTCACATCCAGAAGCACAAGCTCTCTGCACTCCTTTAGCAACATCACAAGATCGTTCTTCTCCAGGCATGACAGCCTGAAGCACAGGTGCTTCAAATGAAATTATTTACAATCAGAAATAACTTATTAAAAACAAATGCACATACAATTAAAGATAAGAATTCCCATCGTTTAACCCAAAAAAAAAAAAAACACAAAACAAGAAGCACCCAAATAAACAACATACTAGTTAGTCACAATAAAAGTGACTTTTTGCCTTTTTTTCGTTTTTGGGTCAATTCTGCCGACACTTACTTTTTATTCTTCTTCTGCTCCTTTTCTCTTTCATTTTCCTATCACCACCAACGTTCATCTTTTTTTTTTCTTCTTCTTCTTCTTCATAATACCCAAACTCGTGGGTACTATTCATCACTCTAGAAGTCCAATTTCGAAAGCTCAAATAAAAAAACTTCATTCATCAAAGTTGTTCATCTGTTCTGTTTGAATACTATAACATACCCAAACATGAGCATCATCAGACCGGTCTAGCTACCTCGAACCGGCTATGACATTTCTATGTTTATCCATGGCTGGTGAGTTTTCTGCAGCTCGGTTTTCAACAGTTTTCTTTAATCTCCATTGCTTGTTTGACAAAACGTCCTTCTCTAAGGTTGTTCCTCAGTTGGAGAACTTTGACATCCAAAAATCAGAGCAATCCAACTACTCTAGCGATGTCTGTGGTAAGCATGTTCGTCACTTCCTCGGATTCTGCTGTTATCACTGTACAGTACCTTATTCACTCTTGTATGTCACTTTTCCCTTGCTCAGACGACAATACTTCCTTCATGAAGCTTGTTCAGAATTCTTTTCTCTACAATATATCCAAAAATAGTGGCAGTCCAACAAGTGTAGCTTTCTCGGCAGTGGTACACCTGAAACAAGCTTTTGTTAGTTTTCAAGTGTTGTTTGAATTGGTTATTTCTGTTTGGGAGCTTCACGTAGGATTTCGGACCAATATTAAGGTAAAGTTTTAAGATGCTTTGATTTCTGGAAATTTGTGTCTGAGTTGTTGGCCGAAGCCGAATTTGAAAGTGGAAGAACCAAAAGATAATTTAAAATAAGTATATGTAAATTGAAAATAAAGGAAAATGTAAGGACCAAAGTGAAATTATGGATAAGTCTGAAGACTGAATTGTATTGGAAAAAGTATAGGGGCCAAAGTGAAAATAAAGAAAAGTATGAGGACAAAAGTGAAATTATTGACAAGTGTGAGGACTAAAGTTCAATTAAAGCTAGTTATAATGACTAAATTGCAAATAAGGGTTTTTAGTAACATTTTTGAAATGTTGGCCTAGGAATCAGTTGCCCAAGCAAGAACAATTTGAGTTCAAAGGTGTAGAATTCAAGTGAGGCATTAGCTTTGGATTCCAGGTAGGGGGACTCACTCCCAGACTTGTATTTTTGTGTATGAATGACATTGTATATATTGTTGTGTGCGAAAACGAAAACTGTAATGTTTGTGATTGCCTAATTAACACTTTAGTTTTCTTTATTTTCTTTACTTTTTTTTTTGGTTGGGTGAGCAAAACACAAGTGGTTCCTTTACACTTGAGTAGGAAAACTCTTGTTCGTAACTTTAGTAATATTCTTTCTTTATTTTGGGGATTAAGGTCCTATTTGTTTACTTTCTCCGGTTTCATTGCTTTTCTTCTTTTGCTTGTTCTATTTCTCCCATCTGGTATCAGAGCCATAAGAGTTGTAAGTTTTTCATGAACTAATTTCTTTTACTAGGGCTACGATTATCAACATGTTAGGTAATTAAGATTGACAAGTTAGAAGGATTTGGATAGGATTAAGCTAGGTGAAATCGGTGTTCTAGTGCTGTATCATCTTTGTTTTCATCTTTTACATTATTTACTTATTCTTATTTTACTTGCTTAATTATATTTTTGTCATTTTAATCCTCTTATTGTTTAATTCAAATATAATTAAACAAAAATCACTCCAATATTTACTAGATTAACTTGATCATTGTTGGAAAAATACTCTATTTACCATTATATTAATTTGAGCGATATTATCTATTTGCAATTAATTACATCATCTACCCATTACTCCATGAAAAAATAAAAATAAATAAGAAAAATTGCAACCTCTTCTCTGTCACGCCAATAACTCGCCCTTTTTAACCCTTGCACTTTATTGTCTTGTTTTTGCACAGTCTGCCTCTTTTTTTCCACACCTCTCACATTTGTCAACATCTAGTAGGGATTAGGTCTTGAAAATCAGTTGAGAAAGAGTCACCATTGCCATAATTGCAACAGAAGCAGTGGCCCATCCTATCCAGAGGATTTCTGGTCCAGTTTCTTTATTGAGCTCCTTGGGCTTCTACAATGAAGAGTTAAAGTGAGGAGTTAAAGTGAGGAGACCGATCCGACCGTCAAAAACATTTAAAATATTTAAGTCCCATGATTTCTTTACATTTGTTGATGGTGAGATTTGACCTCCTCAAATAACCTCCTCACTTTAAGCCCTCATTATAGCCTTTCCGAACTCCTTGACTTGGTAATACAGCATAAGCCTCGTATTAGGAGTTTTTTTTTTCTTTCGATAGTGCATTTTTACCAATGGTTTTAAACCTATACAAGTAAAAATATGTTTTTAAAACGGTACAAGTAAGAATACTTTGTTTAAAATAATACTTCTTGAAAAGAAAAAGTTCTTTATTGTTTTTTGGCTTAATTATGTACATGCCCCCTGTGCTTTCCAACTTATCTCAGATTACCACCTGTGGTGGAAAACGTCTCAAAGTACCCCCCAACGTGCAAAAAACTGTCTCACGTTACCCTTTCCGTCAGTTTTTTTGAAGTTCCGTTACGAACGTTACTGTTCATCTCCCCCAAAATTCCAGAACAGCAGCTCCTCCCATTTGTTACTGTTCATCGCACCAGTTTTTGGGCTGCCATCGCCTCCTCCGGCCACCCCAAGCGACGACATGGATATCAAAAGAACCAGCACGTTGTCCTCTACCACCCTCACATCTCAGCCGCTGCCAACCGTCGTCTGGATCACCGAAAAAAGCAAGAAATTGGCCGGTTTTTACCCAAAATCTCCATTGCTCGTTCG